GGTGTGGCCCCAGGAGCAGTGACAGAAGGAGCTGCCTGAGGTCCCAGCTGCCCCCCCACCCTTAGGGCTTGCTCATTCCATCAGCCAATCCCATCAGGGTAGAGGGTATGAAGGACAAGCGCTCTTACCCTGGGAGATGCTGAGCCCAGGTGGTCTCCAGGGGCCCTGGCAGCTTTTTGAGTCTTGGGCCCATGGCTAGGCGGCCAGTGGTCAGGGAAAACCAGCATCACCAGGAATGGGGTCTTAAGAACAGACCTTGTAAAGCTGGGTCTCAAGCAGGTGACTCAACTGCTCTTGTCACTCCGTGCCCAACAGAGTTTTGCTGCTGAGCTACCTTCCCCAACGTCAAGGCTGGGAAGCTCAAGCCACGTTCCTAACCCCTCCTCACCCTCTCCTGCATATTCGGTGGAATTGGGGGGTATGAGAGTTTGCTCTTGTGCTTCTTCCTTTTCCACACTGGTGCCAGGCTTCCCTCTCAAATCAGCCTGTTCTACTCTAAAATCCTAGACCCAGAGAAACAGCTTAAACCAGACTTCAGAGATCTAGCTTCCACCATCCCAAATGTCAACACGTCTCTTCCCAGTCAGGAGAGTAAGAGCCCAACTGGGACTGTGGAAAAGTGGACCAGCCCCAGTGTGAGAAAGTCTAGTGCCCTCAGAATGACCCAAGGAGTGGTCCAGAAACTAGTCCCGTAGAGGGGCCTCACCCAGATCCCCGCTAGAACACTCCACATAGGAAATCTTGTAAGGAAATGAGAACACACTGCTACTACCACTTAAGTCAGAACCACTCCCTCTCGCTACGGCGCCTCACTCAAATGTTTCAAGTAGGACTGACTTATTTAAACCAAACATTTCTATGCAGCCCTTTCCAAGCAGATCTCCGCTGAAGGGAAGAATAACTCCTGCTTGCTTCCCACTAAGTTCTGGCCTCCGTCTGGGCAAGTAGCCTCGGCCAGGGTCAATGGCAGGCAAGGGCTCAGTGTTCCCAAGGCTTCTGGGTCAAGGCTGCCATCCGAGGAGATCAGGCCCAGCCCTGGAACACTCACACCTCACCCATCACGCCCCAACAGAGAAAGGCCGCAACGGCCTTGGTGAGGCCTGCCCTCGGGGAGAAGCCAGACACCGGGCAGTCCTGATCAGACTGATGTTCAAAAAGCCAGCTTTCAGCATGAAACTGCCTAATTTCCCTCTGACACGGTTTCAATTTCATACATCAACTCCGACATTTCTAAGTCTCTGTAATCAGACAAAGGGGTGAGGGCATGCAGACCGGGGGCCCAGGAAGGCCAGAGAACCAGACAGAGCAGTTTCTCGGGGGATGGTAGGAACAAAGAAATCGAGGGAGAAGTTCTGAATTCTGCCACTGACCAGCTAGGTGACCCGGTGCAAATCCAACTTCTAAATGTCATTCACCTAAAGTGACACGTTGTACTAGTTCATCTCTAAGGCTTCTGCCACCTCTCCTCTCTCGTGGTTCTAACGTACTCCCTGCCCTTCTTCAGCCTGTTCCATTCCCACCCTGGAAGAACCACACCCAAGTCCTCAGCAGCCACGACCTAGGCTGCGCACGGGGGCTGCGAGGCACAGGCCAGAGCACCTGGAGCTAGACTTTCTTCCTGGGACACGCCATGGCTTAGGACCACTGCCCTGCCAGCTAGAGGCCCAGGCATGCCTACCTGAGTGCCCTCTGAGGCTGGGGGCCCGGCCCCGTCCGTGTCTCCTGGGCACTCGGCACGAGCCGCCCCACAGAAAGCTCCTCAGGCAGCCTGTGCCATGTACCTCCCGCATGCTGAGCCTGGGGCCTGCAGGCCCCGGCCTCTAAGACATCTGGCCTCCTGCTGCCTCCGTGCACACAGAGAAAACCTAGAGAAATCAAATGAGCGGGAACCCTGGGCCACCAATTCCCATAGCCGGGCCCCCGCAGTCCTGACAAGGTCTTAGCACTCCCCTTTCCCAAACCCCCCGTAACTTCTCCTAGCCTGGCTGAGGCCTTCCGCAGTCAGAGGACTTTCTGGAGTTACTAGCAAAGGGCCTGGAAGCCGATCCTAGCCCTTCTATATAAAATTGATGTACCCAACACACACCCACACTGTGCCCTTCACTGTCAGGGACCCGCTGTCACCTGATTCCTAGACTGAGTGGATGGCTTGGCCGCAGCAGCCCTGCATTGTGCTTCCTCCCCCCGTTTCTTCCTACCTTCCCAGCTGAAGAGGCTGCCCAGCCTGGCAAACACGACTGCAGCAGGATACTAACTCAAGAGCGGGGGTGTGTGTATGGATCTTGGGGCCCAGGAAGAATTCACCAGGTCCCTTCACACACACACCTCCCCCACCTGGTCCTCTGTCTCAGCAGTGGAGGCAGGAGTCCGGTCTGAGCCAGCTGGGCCAAGGAGCCACTGAGAGCTGAAGGTTCACCTGGCAGGAGGCCTATGTACAGAGAGAGGGTAAGCAGGGCTGTCTCTGCAGGCAGGCAGCTCCACTCCAGGCTGGGCAACCCCAAAGGGCACAAGGGGGCCCTCTACTCGCAGGCCAGCTTGCTGTCGAAGCTGGACAGGGCGATGGCGAAGGCCTGCAGCGCGCACAGTGGGTAGTTGTAATCCATGGTGAACACGTCCTCTGCCACGCGGCCAAACTGCATCACAATGTAGTCCGCTGGAGCCCGGCACACGCGTGCACAGGGAAAGCCACACGGGACAGGGCAGGGATGGGGGGGGCGGACAGACAGACAAATCATAACGGGCAGAGAAGGTGAGCAGAGATGCCCAAAGGAGGTCAAACAATTGGGAGAAGTGGAGGCAAAGAGGGAGGAGGTGACAGAGAACGAGAGGCACACCAACACCGGGGGACAGAGAAGAAGGAAAGTCCATTCAGAGGGTGTTCCCACACCTGAGACTGTGCTGAGTGCACAGTCTAGGGTTAGGGCTCCAAAGAAAGTTCTTCCAAGGGCCTCCCAGTCATAGGGTTAGAGAATTTTTGACCTCTGATCGAAGCCATGTAACCCACATCCTTGAGCTCTGGCCTATGAAGGCCGGGCTGGGTGAGCTGAACCCTGAGCTGAAGGCCCTGGGTGTCACGGGGACAGTCCTGAGGAAGGGCGGAAACACTCACGGTCATTGCCATGGATGATCTGGAAGTTCTTCACGGAGGCCTGTGTGACGCGCCCGTGGAAGTTGAGTACGTAGGACTGCGTGTCGTCATTCCAGACCGGGGTCTTGTTTTGCAGCTCGATGATACTCTCCGTGTTCTTATTCTGCCAGCGTGCTAGCAGCGTCTCATGCTCCTGGGAAGGCAGCCTCGCCTGAGTCACGCCCGGCCCCGTGCCTTGGCCGCACAACCACCCTAAAAAGGGATCTGCCCTAGGGACGGAGTCCTTAATCTCCCTAGACGTCCGCCTAGAGCCCCGGGGCTTCTTCCACGGCGTCCCCTCCGCCTAACAGAGCGCGGCTGCAGTTCTGCTCCCAGGAGCGCATGCACACGATGGGATGACGGGGGTGGGGAGAGACTCACGTTTCGCGGCCGGATGGAGACTCTCTCGTGAACCATGTTCATGCCTGGGACAATCACACTCATCTTCCGCGGCCCCTTGAAACCTAAGACGTTTGTCTCCTGGGAAAGAGAGAGGGAGGACTCAACCCTGGCCGTCTGAGGACTCTACTTCCCTAATGGAGGGACTAGGAGGAAAGGAGGAAAGCTGACGAGCTAGTTTTCACCATCTCCACCTGAATGTCTAACAGGCATCTCTACACTTAACCCGTCCACAACTGAGCTCCCGGATCTCCACTCTGCCCAAACCAGCTCCTCCCTCCCGTCTTCCTCGCTTCAGTTGACAACTCAGTTCTTCCATCTGCTCAGGCAACCTACTTTGAGTCATACTTGCCTACTCTCTTTTGGCTCACAAGCCACTTCTAATCCATCAGCAGATGATGTCACCTCTCCCTTCAAATTCTATCTGGAACTCAACCACTTGACCAGCACCATCTCTCCCTGAGATCACAGTACTAGTCTTTATCTGGATTCCTGGTTTCCGACCTTGCCCTGCCCCCCCCATCTGTTCACAGAGCAGCGAGTCGTCCCATTAAGTCACATCCTTTGCCTCCACTGTTCACACAGATTAAAAGCTGAAGGTCTCGACTGTGAGGCCTCACGGGGTACGGCCCCACCACATTCCTCTCCCCACCACCTACTCTCCTCTGCGCTATGCTCTGGGCGCCCCCCCACCCCCGCTATTCCTCGCACAGGCCAATTACTCAGGACATTAGCACTGGCTGTGTTTTCCACTACACCTACAGGGCTGGCTCTCCCGTCCTTCTGGGCGTTACCCAAGTGCTACCTCAGGGAGGCCCTCCCTGCCATCCTTACTAAAAGCTTCCACACATCTGAACATTTCATTTCCAGGTTTGATTGTTTCTTCTTCACATTTATTTATTTGTTTTACTTATAAATCTGTTTTATAGCTTGTCTCCCCACTAGGGATTTTAGTCCCATAAGGGTATAAATTTGCATCTCTTGTTCACTACCGTATCCTCAGGGCCTCAAACAGTATTAGCTGGGCTCAATAAGCATTTGAAGAGATTCGGGCTGCCTCCCCAAAGGTGGCCAGCAGGTGGCACCAGAGGCTCATACAGAACAGCTATGGCTTTCCCAATTGGCCTCCAAGTACCCAGGCCCAGATTAATGGGGGTACCAATCCCTCATTTTAAAATAAGAATTCCCTGTATTTACATTCCAGTTTGGTCACCAATGTGCTGTATGACATTGGCAAGTGACCCAACCTCTCAGCTTCAGTTTCCTCGTCTATACAGTGAAGGAAATAGGACTGAGCTCTTAGGTCGTGCATTCCATGAGATGACTACACAAAGGGCCTTGTAGTCCACGCAGGGCCCAGGTACTGGAGAGAGGGGTGGAGGGACGCACCAACAAGAACTCAGGCCTCCTGCTGCCTCCTTTCCTGGCGATTCCCAGGCTGGGCTGCATAGAGCTCAGCCCAGTTCCCAGAGCTCCCCAGGCAGATGGCTTTCTGTGGTCTGAGCTCTGAGGACAGACGGGGGCCATGCCAAGAGAGGGCAGCCCAACTCTGTACAGTCTTGTCTGCTCACAAAGATAGATGGGAGAGCCCACAGACCGGGCAGGTCCTCAGTGTCATGTCTAACTTGGAGACCAGAGACTCAGGAACGCACGACTCACGTAGCACACAGCTGCCAACTCCTGACGCAAGGCTCCACTTTCCAAAGTAGAGGATGATGCCTTCTGAGGGTTGACTCCATTGTCATAAACGGTGAACTTAGTGCCCATGAGGTTGGACCTGAAGGACAGGCAATCAATAGAGGATCATGCACCCTCTGCCTTAGGGCAGGAAGCAGCTCAGTCTGTCCCATGAGGAGCCTACAGAGCATTCTGGGTTGGGCCAGGAGCAGACCAGGGAGCACACTGCACCCTGAATCCCCATCTCTGAAGGTCCTTCATGGAGAGAAGGCGTGGACTCACTCTGAACAGAATCAAAGGGCATCTTAGTTGAGTGAGGGAAATTCCAGGAGGTAAGTCTCGGTTCCACAGGTTTCCCTGGAGGAGCAGGAATGCTCCCCTCATGGGGGACGAGCAAGCAGATAGCATCCGGCAAGACTGCAAAAGGCACTCAACATCTCATGGAGAGTTGATGACACGACCTCCTCTCCTGTCCAGCCTGTTGAGTGTTGGTCTAGCCCCATCTCCAGCATTAGTTCCTCACCTCTAAGCTTGATTTATGCTCCCCAAATCTGGCACTCTGTTCCTTGGCAAACCCTCCCCTAGCTCTGAGGCCTAGCTCAGAGCCTTCCCCCCACCCCAAGGTTGTGCTCTCTTCTTCCCTCAAGGGCTCACTCACAGCCTTGCCCTCTGGCACTGACCATGGGGCCAAGGCAATTCTTCCAGGGTGGCCCACATCTTCAGTGACTTCCTGAGGTTTGACCTATCCCTCTTCATGGGCCTATGCCCCACCGACCTGGGAGCAGCTTAGGGTAGGGTATGTGAGCTCCATCTCCCAAGTCTGGCTCTAGGCTGGCACGGACCCAGGCCTACGGTTGGAGCTGACAGAGAGGATTCTATGAGAGGATCTGACCCCTGACCTAGATCTCCCTCAGGGACAAGACATGCCCACTCCGGAGTCTGGCCCTGCCCCTCCCTCCCACCCCCCACCTGCTCCCTAGGGGAGTGCTAGTACCGCAGCTTCCCGATGTAGCTGTCCCCTCCTCGAGACAAGTCTGTTGGGTCCACAGAGATGAGGTAATTGGAAGTTTTACTCTTCTTTCTCTTCCTTCCCGCCAAGAGGAACACCTTGGGGAATGGAGCAAGGTCACATTCCAGGCCCAGCCTCTGGTCACAATCATGGGTGTGACTGACACACACACACGGCTCTCTGGCTCCAGCTCCTGAACATATGGACATGTACACACACACACGTACACACACACACACGTACTTATGCACACACACGTACTTACGCACACACACACGTACTTACGCGCACACGTTACTTACGCGCACACGTACTTACGCACACACACGTACTTACACGTACTTACGCACACACACACGTACTTACGCACACACGTACTTACGCACACACACACACGTACTTACGTACACACACGTACTTACATACACGTGTACACACACACACACACACACACACACACACACACGACCAGCTAACACAAAGGTATGCACAGACCGGGCACGGAGGCTTCTATCCCTTGGGAGAACTGAAAGCTCAGTGTTGGACCTGAGGCTTCCAGTCACATTCCAGCCCACAGGACCTCAAGCCTGCCTCAGGGAAACTGCAAGTTCGGGCCAACCTCACCTTCTTCCCATCCTCACGGTCCAGGTGCAAGAAGTAGGTGGGGTACATGCCCCGGTCCATCCCCTTCTTGTCCCGCGTGATGCGGCACTTGATGGTGATACCTTGAGGGGCTGGCCTCAGTGCAAACTCCTCAAGATCCTGGACGTCCACATCCGCCGAGGGTTCTGGGGCTGTTGGGCTGGGGGCTGAGGCTGCCTCCTACAGGGGACAGAGAAGGAGCCCAAGCCCCAGAGACCCTGAGCAGCTGCAACTGGTGGTCCGGGACCCAAAGCTGCCCCCTGATGTGGTGGTGGTGGTGGTGGTGGTGGTGGTGGTGGTGGTGGTGGGACCTGGGGCAGGGCCCCCCGGCCGTGGGGTCAGCCGCTAGTCCCCCGGGTGGGGGGGGGGGGGGGGGGGGGGGGATGGAGGATGTGGGCAGCTTCTCAGGGCCATCCCAACCAACTCGAGCGCCCGCCCCCCGACTCCTGGCCTGGCTGAAGAGAAGAGGAGGCAGGAGAGAACAGAAGAGCCCCGGCGAGAAAAGCTCCTGCTCGGTTTCCAGGCCCAGTCCCAAGAGAGCCAACTCTCCATTTCTTCACACCCATTCGCCCTCCAACCTGGACGAGCAGAGCTCTGAGCACCGCTGTCCACCCTCCCGCCGGGCAGGAGAAGCACCTCACCCTGACGGACTTCCCGCTAGTAGCGGAGCTGGGGCGGGTGGTGCTGTTCAGCTGGGAGGAGCTCGAGCTGTTTTCATCCTCCTCTTCCTCTTCCTCTTCCAAGCTCATGCTGCTGGGGACACCTGGGCAGCGCAGGGACCGGGAAGGGACGAGCGGTCACAGATGCGGCCAATGCCCACTCCGACACACCGAGTCACCCGTACACACACACGGCCGTACGTCCACACACGCGTCCACACACACACATCCAAACACACGGAAGGACACGTTCTCTCGAGTGCATGCACGAGCTGGGGCTGGCCACCATCCTTAGGGTGTAACCACCCCCCCAGCTTTCCGCTCAGTCCTCCCATGAGACCCCCCCTCTCCAGCAGTCAGTGCCCATCTCCTGGGCAGCGAGGACTGAATGGAGCTGACCCTGTGCTGGGAGCCTTTGTGTCTACTGGTGGCCTCGGCTGGCACAGGCCATGGAATCTGCTTTGGGAGAGGCCCCGCTCCTTCCTCCCCCAGCCTGATGCACGTGGCCCACTGATTCCTCTCCCAGCCTGCCTGTGGCCTTCTGTCGACACATTTCTCCCCACCTGGAATGCTGTCGTCCCCAGCCTCCTGCTGCCTCGATGGCCCTTCCTCCAGGAAGCCAGCCCTGATCTCATTTCCTGGAACGTGTGGCCTTGCCAGGCTTCCTTCTGCCACCCTCTGCCAGGGACTCCCTGGGGCAGGGCTCCTGGTGGGGAAACTGGGCAGCAGGTTTCCTGGGAGGATCTGCCCTGCCTCTGGGCATTCTGGCCTGCTCCCCAAGCTCAGCAGATGAAGGGGAAACACTCTTAAAAGGACCTTTTTCAAAGGAGGCAAAGGGAAAGGAAACCTGTCTCCAAACCTGGGTCTCCCTGGGGACAGGAGATGGAGGTGGGGAGAGAAGGCTGGGCTGTGGACTGGTTGCTTTCCCTAGTTGATTTCCCTGAACTTGACCTTATCAGGGGCCCCTACACCCAAGTTTCTCATTGGTCTCGCACTGTGCCCCCTACCAGGGCCATGCTCCTTAAGAAGAGTGCATCTAAGAACCTGGGACTGAGCTTTGGGGGTGTCACTGAACCCCCACAGGGCTCACCCTTCCTCTGCATCGTGGCACGGAGGTCCTGCCCGCTGGGCTGTGTGCCCCCGCCGGCTGCCGTCTCCCCCGCGTCCTGAGCGTGGTCTGACTGGCCCACAGTCAGGATCCGCACCGGGTCTTGGGCCTCAGACTTGTCTTCGGCCAGTGCAGCTGGCCCGCTGGTGCCTGCAGGCCACGGATACTCTTGAGTCCCGTGGGGGGGTGGGGGGGGAGCCTGGATTCTCAGACGTCCTTGAAGTGAGGGATGAGTGGGGGCAACCCTCTGCGAAACTGATTTTTAAAAACACTAATGACTGCTGCCAGCCTCTTAGCGATCAACAAGCTACAAAGGGACATGGGCTTCATTTCTTCTGCTGTTCCCCCAAATTAGTTGCCGAGGGTTGGTTTGAAATGCCTCACATCCCTAGGCAGAAGACAGCCATCTACAAAACCAACTGCACAGTGAAAAAGACAAGACGGAGAACAAGGATCGATCGTGACCATGGCCAAGGCCACCGCTTGTTCACAGACATGGCCAACTCCCAGTGATCAGTGATTCTCTCTCTCTCGCGAGTGCGCACACACACACTCACCCCATAACTCACACACATCATTCAAAACACATGGGGCCCCTTGAAAAAGACAGAGGTCGGCTTGCACTCCCCTTCCCAAATGGAAGATCTCCCATCCCACGTCACCCTGCCCAAGGTGCCCAAGTAACAGAAGGCCTGGCCCACACAGGTGGCAGTGCCCTGCCTGGCTGAGCTATGCTCCTCAACGCTGCAGTCAGCTCCAAAAGCCTATGAACCCTGACACACCACTGTCCACCCACGTCTCAGACACCTGGGAATCACTGCCCATGCACATGGGTTGGGGACACGGGGCGTCTAGCCAGTGGAGACAGGACTCATGGCAGGAGCCACCAAAACGGTCCTTGATCTCTGGGGATCTTTTCTGGAGAGAAAGGAACCGAGAAAACAGACGGTCTGTGGGCCCAGAGGGTGGAGTTAGGGCTAGACAGAGAGTAGAGAAAGCCTACGTGACAACCCCGAGTACTGCACAAGGATGGGGCAAGCTGCTTAGGGCAGGACAGAGATGGAGGGTGCTCAGGCCAGGTGGGGGCGGGGCTGCCTGGGCTGGACCCAGGTGAGCTGCACTTCACTCACTCCCTGGCAGTGTGGGGAGCCTGCCCGTGCCCACAGGCAGCCCAGGAACCCCCGTGAGCTAGAGGAAGCCTGAGTGCCAGTTGGGTGGGGGCCCAAGTGCCCTTCTGTGCCTTCATAGAGGCGTCCCACCCTGTCCCTTACCTCCAAGGCTGAAGGAGAAGCCTCCCCCCAACCCTCCAGTGGGAGCCAGGCCTCCTGAGGAGGGGCTGTCGTGGAGGCAAGCCAACCTTTGTGCTTCCCCTGCTTCTCCTTCCTAGAGGCCCCGCCCTGGCCCCCTGCTGCAGCTGCTGCCTTGGTTCTCTTGGCTGAGGCTGGTGCTGTTGGGCGGGCGGCTCCCAGCTGCGCACTGGTAAGTGAGTCGGCCTCTTGAACTGCTCAGGTGAGAGCCAGAGAGAGAGAGAGAGAGAGAGAGAGAGAGAGAGAGAGAGAGAGAGAGAGAAACATGGGCCCTAGGTGAGACCAGAGCTCCAAGTGGAACTCACTTCTCAGCACATCTGCCAGGGCCTCACCACCACCCAAGCCCTGCCAGGGCCTCTACAAGACAAAAGGGCCGGGGCAGGCCGAGCTGGAAGGAGGTGGTTCCTGAAGCCCCGTGTGATAGTCAACAGGCTGGCCCACAGCATGATCAACCAAGAAGCACGCAGTCAGAGCTCTGGACCAGCAAACTGTGTGAGCCTGGGCAGGGGAAGGGAGAGCATCTGGGAGAAAGTGGGTCACTCAAGGTGAAGACAGAAAAGGCTGCATTCCCTAGAAGAGCCCAGAACTCGTAGGGCAAGCACTCCAGGGAGCCTGCACTGGCCCGCGTGGGACGAGCCCATGGGAGCCCGGCACCCAGAGTACCCCAAGCAGGAGGGTGGCTCTGGGTACAAGGAGCTGCACACACCAACACGGTCACAGCTGGGTGGCCTCCACAGTCTCCACACATCAGAACCCCAACCCGCTTTAAGTCTTTGAATGATTTCTCATTGCTCGTAAGATGAAGACCACCATTCTCCCCCAAGTCTGGCCCCTCCAGCTCCCTTCCACTTGGCCTTGGCCTTCACGGCACACCCCTCATCTCCCGGGCACCCCAAGTCCCAGCCCCACCTGGCGCTTTCAGTGCCTTCCCTCTTGCCACAGGGGCTTTGCTCTATTGTCCCACCATCTGCACGGTCCTCACTCCGGACATTGGCCCCCTTGACCCCAACTAAACTCCCACTCAACCTGTGGATTCCAGCTCAGGTGTCACCTCCTCAGGGAGGCCTTCCCTGGCCCTCATCTGGGAGCAGTCTCTCTGCCGTTCACTCACAGAGCCTGTTTCTCTCCGCCAAGCACACCTGGGACCACCTGTTTAACTCTCCCTTCCTAGACCTCCAGGTCCATGAACAGAGAACACTCCTGTTTTGTGCTTCCCCAGGATCCTCAGCCTCTAATTCAGAGCCTGACACAAAGTAAGCCCTCAATAAATATTAAAAAAAATGAATATACAACATGGATGAGCATGGTCAGTGAAGAACTGTTCGCTGGGAGAAGCAGTTCTCACTGATGCCAACCCCCCCCCCCAGCCTCTGGAACCGACCCCCTTGTATTTAACACCAAGAGCCAGCAGAGGGCAGAGCAGGCGGGGCTGGAGGGGCCCTCGGAACCAGGGACCCCAGGTCAGCCAGCCTCGCCTCCTCAGGGCTTGGCACTGGGCAAAGGCACCACCTCCCCGCCCCCGCCCCCCGAGCCTGGGCGGCAGTGTCCGCAGGGAACAGCATTCATGACTGGACCACAGGACATACCATGGCCACTTCAATTTTCAAAGCCCCAAGATACAGGATGTTCCTCAACTTTACAAGGGGAGAAAATAGGCCCAGAGAGTAAGTGACCTGCTCACTAGTCACAGGCGAGCAGAAACTATCTTCCGACGGGGGTGGGACCCGCTCTCTCCACAGGGGCTGCAGCCTTTCTGCAGGCCTGGCCCTGCCCTAGGCACATAGTCGGTGCTCAAGAAACACCTGCCAAGGTGACCAAAGCCTCAGGATGCCTGAGCACATGCAGGGGCCCCGGGGTCCAGGTCCTGGCCTCCCTCCACCTGGGCTGGGCATCGTCTGGCCTGAGCAGCCCCTGACGGGGGGGAGCCCTTCACCTGCCCCGGCCGGCCGAAGTCCATGAGGGGCTCCCTGAAGCAGTGCCGGTGGGAGGGGGGCGCGAGGCCGCAGCACGGGGACCTCCCCAGGCTCGCCCCAGGGCAGGCTCTACCTTGGTAGCTGGTGCTGCCGCTGCTGCTGAGGTAGGACTCCACCAGGGGTGCCTGCTCCTCTGACTGCCGGGCCCGCCGGCTCCGGGGCCGCCCGTCCGTGTTGGCCTGCACCATCAGGGGCTCCTGGCGCTTCTTCTTCTGCTTCTGCTCCAGCAGGGCCCGCTGCAGGCACGGGACAGACACAGAAGTCGGCGGGCCCTGAGAGCGCAGCCCGTCACTTCCACCCGGACAGCAGGCTCCCAATTGGGACCAGAGAGAAGGCCCTGATCGCTCAGCTCGGTTCTGGGGGTTGCCAGGGGGTCCACAGCCCACTTTGGGCTGAGGCTTTGTGCCCTTAGCACCTGGAGACTCAGGGTCCAGGAAAAGGAGGCACAAGTCAGCCCAGGTGGCCGCCCCGGCAGGACCACGGCACAGATGTCCAATGGTCCGACTGCAGCCACCAGCTGCCTGCCTGGCAAAAGCTCAGTGCTGATACTGAGCTGGTCAAGACAGGGCTCGCCTCTCTTCTGTGAGAGCCTCCTCCTCGCCAGCCAGGGTCACCCCAGGAAGGGAGACAATCCTCACTCTCCACCCAGGATGGTAAGTGCTGACTGCCCGTCCTCCCGGCCCCGGCCCCACTCACCTGCCGGTCCAGCTTCTGCTGCCTCAGGTTGCTGCCCTCATCATCTAAGACACTGCAGAGGGAGACAGGGGCACTCAGGGCCTGCCGGCCGGCTGCCACAAACCCAGAGCCCACCCCCCGCACATCTGGGTTCTTTAAACCCCTCCCGTCATGACTCCTGGGTACAGAGGAGAGGGGGGAAGGGTGGAGCTACTATCTGGAAACTGGTTCCAGACGGAAAGATGGGAGCCATATTTTGGCCACTTTAGGAGCTTTCTCCTGCTGGGGTCACTGCTGACCCAAGGAATTGCTAGTCAGCCCGGCCCCGGTAAGTACAGGAGGAGACATGCCTGAGATCCAGGGGAACCTGTCCAGAGGCATCAGGTGCAAGCCAAGCCCAAGGCTGGGCTCCAGGTCCCTCTCAGATCTCACCAGCTCTTCCCGTCTTTCCGTCCTTCCTAGAGGAGGCTGGATCCTTTGAGGCAGACTCCTTCCTCTTCTATTCAAACTCCTGGCTCTCCAGGTGGCAGAATGGAGGTGCTGCCCACCCCCTCCCCCTCTTAAAGAAGGCTGAGGGTCCCCTCATTTGGGAGAGCGAAGCTAAAAGACCAACCAGCCCCCGAGGGCAGGGCTAGGACTGGGTGGGGTATCTGCAGGCAGACACAGCACAGCAGGGAACAGCCCAGCAACCAGCCAACATGGCGCAGGGGGCACCAGGGCATCAAATCCTTGAGTCCCTAAGGTCTTGGAACAGGCAGTGTCAACTCACATAGACTGGACCTGCCTCCCAGGAAGACAAGCATAATCAGGGAGCTCCGACCACTTAGCATTCCTTCTAGTCCAAGATACATCCATGAGCCGTAGCCCCAAATTCTATAAAAGCCAAGGTTGGGGGTAGTAGGGCTGGCGTCTGAGGACATGAGCCCTGGGAACCCCCTGACTACCCTGGCCCAGTGATGCTGGGGCCTGCCCCTGAACCAGACCTTGAGTGGGTACCTGCACAGGCATGCCTGAGTGCATCAGGTTTGTATGCGAAGCTCTAAGCATACGCAGTGCCGTGCCCACACCGGGAGGCGTCCAGATACATGAGGACACTTACGTGGGTGAGCACACCGTGCAGCTAGGCAGGTGAGTGCCTGCGTGAGAAGTGGGTGCGCCTGTGTGCGGGTGAGCACAGCACGCGCCTAAGGAGGGAAGGTGAGGGCGGGTCACCCCGAAGACAAGCTGCAGCCAGTGCCACCTCCTCCTGACGAGAGGAGCTCTTCTACCTGCAACGATCATCAACCTGCAGTGTCCCTTCGGCTCATCCAAACTACCTGTGTGTCCATGTGCCGGGGGAGCCAGCCAAGGGTGTGGCAGGAAGTCCATGGAGTCCACAGCCCACCGCCCACCTCTGGCTCTACCCACCCACCTCCCCAGCCACAACCTAAGACAACTGCCCGTTTTTAACTGGTAGCTGTCCTCCTTACTTGAAGGCCTTTCCTGACACCCAGGGGCTGCCCTGCACTCAACAGGAGCCCTGACTGTGCTCTGAGTCTGTTCACAGCCTGATTTTCCAAAAGCCTTGGCTGCCAGAACACAAGAGAAAACACTGCTAAACAGACGTGCTTCTCAGTCAAGGCCTCGGTCCACCTAGAGTCGCCCACAGCTGCACGTGGGACTCCCTGAGGGCACTGCCAGGAGCAGGCGACAGGGACCCGGCTCCTAACACTTCAAGCTGGCCGGGACAGGGAGTGCCATCTGAGGAAGCGGGCACCCCAGGCCAGAGGGCGGCAGTGAGAGTTCTGAAGGAAGGATGCGTTTATTAGGGTGAGCAAGATGCCTGGGGGCCCTGCCAGGTCTGAGAGGCTACACCTCTGTCACTCGCCTCTCCACCTTAAGTCAGCGGCCTGACTGAAAAATGCCAAGGCCAAGCATCCGCTCCCACAAACTTCAAGGGCTCAGTCCACAAACGCCACAGTCCACCGGGGTCTGCGGCATGAGCAATGCGGATTCCTTAAAAACGAGCGGGAGATGGATAGAAACGGCACTCTGGGCTCCACGTGGCACTGGCTGACAGCAACAACGGGGCCTGAAATCCAGCCATGCTCTGCCTGCCAAGCTCTGTGCCTGGGTCCACGCGGGGCAGCCGCCATCTCAGTCATATGCTCGCGGCCTGGCCACAGGGGCCCACGTTGCCTCCACGAGACCACCGGCTCCGCATCCTGCTGGCAGGAGGCAGCTTCATGGCTCCCTGACATGGCGCAAGTCCCTTGCACTTTCGTAGGGCAGGGCCAGGGACAGCCAGGTCATCCGGGGACTGAGCTTGGGGAGCAGGACAAAGCCCCCGCCCTCTGTGGTGCTGACGCAAACATCTAGGGTCATTCAGAAAAGGGGACATCTGCCTGCGAGTTAAGCTGACACGAGCAAAGCCACCTCCAGAAGCGCCGGGTCACAGCGGCAGCTCGATGGACAAAGGTGGCTCTGGTGTCCCTATCCGTCCGGGGGGGGGGCGGGGGCGGCGCCCATTCCTAGCCCAGGCTACCATCCCACTGCCCGGCCTCTCCACAGGTCACCAGCGGGCAAGGAGGCTACTTTCCTCCTCCTCTGGCCCCACCTCCATTCCCTGATCCGGCAGAAAGAGCCAGAGCCGCAGCCCTTAGTAATCCTGGCAGGATTACAGGTGGAATGGACTTCACCACCGGCCCTCACAGAAAGATGGATGAAAAGGGGTAAGTTTCTGAAGAGATTCCAGAAACTCGGATAGCCTGGAAGTGCCTGGAGAGCCACGCCCCACCTCCTCCGCCACTCCTCTGGGCACACTGGAGCGGCGGGGGGCCGGCATGTGCAGGGGCGCGGCTGGGAGAAGCCTCGTGCCTCCAGTCAGGGGTGAGGAAGAACGTGCCTGGCTGCGCAGGACGCCCCAGGAGGGCCCGCAATCCACGCAGCTCTGAGCGGTGGCTCCAAGAGTGGACGACGGCACGTCCAGGAAAGCAGGTTCCTGCCAGGGCCCTGTTTCTAGGAAAGCAGGCTACGGGCCCCCGGCAGGGACGAGCCCGGACCGCCTGACAGCACTGTGTCTGAGGCGCACATTGGCCCCAGACCGAGAACAAATCCCCGCAAGACCCGGCGGCTGCTGAGAACCACGGCAACAAGGCAGGGCTGTGTCCAGGGAGTGGAAGGAAACCCCTCTCCCCTCCCCGGCAGGCCCCGCCCCCAGCCCCACCCCTCCAGGCAGCCCTGCCCCTCAGCTCCCACCAGGGCTCCTTCCTTCCTGTCCGCCGCCACCCCCGGCCTGCCTCTACCCGATGGGCACTGTTCTGGACAACACTAAATGATAACCACAGAGGAGAAAGTAATGGCTTTTTAACAACTCGGGCTCCAATTACGGAATCGCTGCCAAGTCTGGTCTGGCAGCTGCGGCCCCGCCAGGAGCCTCGGGCAGGAGACAGGGCACTGATGGATGGGTCCTCCAGCTGACCCTGAGGGCTCCTTCATTACGGTCGCCTCCTGCTGGGGACCGGACCAGGGAGATCCAGGAACGCACCGGCTACTGGCTCCTGAGGGTCGGAGAAACCCAGTCGGCCGTGTCCACCAATCCACCCATTCTGCCCAGGGCCAACGAAGTGGCCCTTCGCCTCCCAGGGAGACGGCCCCTCCATATCCCCTTGACTCCCCCGAGCTGCCCAACAGGTATCTGGAGAGAAAACCATGCTTGATAACGAACGAGAGCACGGGCACTGCTCCCAAGGGATGGAAAAGCCAGCCGTGGACAAGACATTTAGGAAGCCGGGACCCTGCCTCTCTTTAGACTCCACCCCCCGCATGCTCAGCTAACCCACCAGAGCTGACCAGAGCCCTGGGGGCCAGGCTACCTAGGGACAGCCCCGTACTCCAAGCCCAATTCACTCTCCCCTTTTATGCCCTCATTCCTTCCACTCAGTCACAGCAGAAGCTGCCCCCGCTGGACCCAGGGAGTCAGAGGAGGAAGGACCACCCAGGAGGCCAGGCTGCAAGCCCTGTACCTATGCCAGACTTCCCCACCCCGACCCGAGCACGCCCAGATCTGCCCCTAGTGGCTGCTTGGAACACCAGGGAAACACAGTAGGGTGGGAACAGGGGCAGCCCCAAAAGGGAGAAGCCCACAGCAGGGCTCACAGGAGTCCCAGCCTCCCAGGATGGGTCCTCTCCATTCCTGCCATGGGCTCCCAAACTTAGCACGTCATTAAAACTGCTATGCACATTCGGCCCTGACTTGGTGATTCAGAACTGCTGGGGAAGTTAGCCCAGAATCAATCCCTCACCTCATTTTCTCTTTTGAAGCAAGAAACATAGGTGATTTTAATGTTGGTCATGCAAATGAGGGCCATGAGCCACAGCTGGTGATCTCTAAAGAACAAAAAAGAAATCTGAGAGTTGCTCAAAGTATGCAAATACAGCCTTCTGTTCAGATGGGGGAAGAAATCATAGTCTGTAGATCGATCAATCTTACACAGGTCCCAGGTAAGATCATGGAACAGATTCAATGAAGAGCTAGAAGACCTAGTGATCAGCAGGACTGAGCCCAGTCCACCAGCAAGTCAGGGCACATGCCCCCAGACCTACCAAACAGCCAAGCTGCCACATGGAATCACAAGCACCAGTGACAGTCACTAGTGGCAAGATAAAGCAACGTGAGTGGCGTGCTCCTCCAAAGAGACAGGTTTTTGCAACAATAAGGCATGCCATAATCAGGTTTCCAGCACCCTGCTTCCCTTGCTTAGCGTGTTTACTGATGACCTAAAGACAAGGCAGGCCTCACAGAAGACTTATAGGCGACACAAAGTCGAAGTGATACTAAACTGTTCATTAAGACAGTAGGACTAGGGGCGCCTGGGTGGCTCAGTTGGTTAAGCCACTGCCTTCGGCTCAGGTCATGATCCCGGAGTCCCTGGATCGAGTCCCGCATCGGGCTCCCCCTTCTCTGTGGGGAGCCTGCTTCTCCCTCTGCCTCTGCCTGCCACTCCCCCTGCTTGTGCTCACTCTGTCTCTCTCTCTATGTCAAATAAATAAAATATTAAAAAAAAAAAAGACAGTAGGACTTGAGAAGACACT